AATTAAAAAATAAAGAAAAAAAGAATACGGCGCAAAAATTAAAAGAAATGTCTCTGGATAAAACGAAAGAAAGGAAGAAAATTTTTGCAAAGAGATATGGAAAGAGTTAATGAAGATAGAATTGACTAAAATAACTAAATTCAAAAAAAAAAAAAAAAAAATGGCTTATAGAGAAAGAAAGAAGGAAAAACTCGCATTTTATGTAAGAAAGAAAGAAAGAAAGAAAGAAAGAAAGAAAGAAAGAAAGAAGGAAAAAAGAAAGATGGAAATTTAATCAATATATAAAGTAGGAAAAACTCGAATTATATGTAAGAAAGAAAGAAAGAAAAGAAATACATTGTTTGCAAACAGAGAAGTGAAGAAAAATAATATTGAGTAATAAATATATAAATAAATATATATTTGTATACAAATAAATAAATGAAGATTTTGCAAACAGAGAAAGAGAGAACTTATGAAGAGAGAATTAACTAAGAAAGAAAGAAAAAAAGGAAAGAAAGAAGGAAAGAAAGAATCTACATGAACTGAAAGAGAAAGAGAAGGTTTGAACGAATGACTCATTGAAATTCACAAAATAACAATGAAAAAAAAGACGTGAAATGAATGAAGAAAAAGAAGACCAAAAAATACACGGAAGAAATAAAGAATGAATTAGAATGAAAAAAGAAAGAAAATCCAAATTTCATTTCATTTCGTTTTCTTTCTCCTGAGGCGTCTAGAGGATAATAATATTGTATGATTTTAACAGTTTGTGAATTGTCTGTTCTGGAAGTGTCCCGATCGATCCCCTTACCAGACACCGACCATTATCGTCTGGTTCCTCCAATCCCAACCATATCCAAGAGCGATAGGCGAATGGTCAAATTTTGTAACGTAGGACGAGGAATTCCCCCAACAGTCATCGCAACGAAATAGACAGGGTCTTGTGAGGTCAACGCAATATGGGATTCCTCGAACGAGCAAAATGGATTTATGGCTGACAGAAACGTTTCCCACTAGGGGCCATGGCGTGGTTACGTAAAAGGAAGGAAGAAGTGAAAGAAATTCAAATTTGCACATCACGGGCTTAAGAATTTCTACCCGGTTTTCTTGGTCAGCCTGACGTTGTGTATGTTTGATATTCCTTGCCAGCGGAGACGAAAGTTTGGCGCGGTAGGCAGGACAGAATTACGAGGCGGAAAAAGAAGAAGAAGAAGAAGAAGAAGAAGAAGAAGAAGAAGAGGAAGAAGAAGAAGAAATCGAATTCTTTATGAAGACAAAAAATAAATAAATAAATATTTGGCAAGAAAAGAATGAGTGAATTTAATGAGGTACTAGGACGAGTAGAAAGACGAAGATGAATGTAAAAGTTGACAAGAGTTCATTGCGAGAAGAAGAGGAAGAAGAAAAAGAAGGGAGTGGCTTAATCGATGCCAACTCGAAAAAAAATAGATGAAAAATAAAAATAAAAAAATGAAACAGGTCTAGCAGCAGCAAACGAAGAAGAAGATGAAGGAAAAGGTATAATGTTTTTAAGTCAGGACAAGTGAATGAAAAGAAGAAGAAGAAGAAGGCTTATGTATTTAAGTCGAAACAAATAAAAAAGAAGAAGACAAAAAGGAAATGTGTATCTGAAGAAGAAGAAGAAGGAGAAGAAGAAACTAGAGAATGAGGAAATAGAATTGGCTTAAGAGATTCACTCATGAAAGAAGAAGAAGAAGAAGAAGAAGAAGAAGAGATAATGTATGTAAGTCGAAAAAAATGAAAAAATGAGAAGACAAAAACAAATAAGTATAGCCGAAAGAGAAGAAGAAAAGGAAGAAGAGGAAGAGGAGGAGAAAAAGAATGTGGAGGAGGAGGAGGAAAAAGAAGAAGAAGAAGAAGAAGAAGAAGAAGGGATAATAAATTTAGGTTAGGACGAATGAAACAGAAGAAGAAGGAGAAGGAGAAGGGATAATGTATTATTTAAGCTGGGACAAATGAAGAAGAAGAAGAAGAAGAAGAAGAAGAAGAAGAAGAAGAAGAAGAAGAAGAAGAAGAGATAAAGTCGAAAAAATAAAAAATGAGAAGACAAAAAACAAATAAGTATAGCCAAAGGGGAAGAAGAAGAAAAGGAAGAAGAAGAGGTGGTGAAAGAAGAAGAAGGTGGTGGAGGAGGAGGAGGAGAAAGATGAAGAAGAAGGTTTAATGTATTTAAGTCGAAAAACATAAAAAAGAAGTGTAAGACAAAAAAGAAATGTGTTTCTGAAGAAGAAGAAGAAGAAGAAGAAGAAGAAGAAGAAGAAGAAGAAGAAGAAGAAGGGATAATATACTTAGGTTGGGACGAATGAAATAGAAGAATAAGGAGGAGAAGGAGAATGGATAATGTATTATTTAAGCCGGGACAAATGAAGAAGAAGAAGAAGAAGAAGAAGAAGAAGAAGAAGAAGAAGAAGAAGAAGAAGAAGAGATAATGTAAGTAGAAACAAATGAAAAATGAGAATACAAAAGACAAATAAGTATAGCTGAAGGAAGAAGAAAAGGAAGAAGATGAAGAGGAGGAGGAAGAAGAAGAACGTGGAAGAGGAGGAGAAAGATGAAAAAGAAGAAGAAGGCTTAATGTATTTAATCGAAACAAATAAAAAAGAAGGGGAAGACAAAAAATGTGTATCTGAAGAAGAAGAAGAAGAAGAAGAAGAAGAAGAAGAAGAAGGAGGAGTGATAATGTCGAAACAAATGAAAAATGAGAAGACAAAAAACAAATAAGTATAGCTGAAGGAGAAGAAGAAGAAAAGAAAGAAGAGTAAGAGGAGGAGAAAGAAGAAAAATGTGGAGGAGGAGGAGGAGGAGGAGGAGAAAGAAGAAGGTGGAAGAGGAGATGAAACAATGGAGGTGAATACTCTATTTCAAGTACGAAAATAAATGCAAAAGAAAGAAGAGATAAAATGGTTTAGCTGAAGAAGAGGATGATGAAGACGAAAAAGAAGAACAAGCAGGAGGAATAATGTATTTCAAGCCGATACAATTAAATGAAAAAGGAAAGATAAATGTGTGTAACTGAAGAAGGAGAAGAAGTAGATGATGATGATGATGATGAATAAAAAGTAGAAATCGGACTCTTCTTGAATGCAAAAATAAATAGAGTTGGTAAGAAAAGAAGGAATGATTTTAAAGAGGTACTCTAAATCGAGAATCAAAGTTGAAGGAAAAAATTGAAATGTGAGAAGAGTAGACGACGAAAAGAAGAAAACAAAATCTTCTACGTAATGTGTCTCTTCTGGATGTGGGCGATCATGGCCTTCCAACAACTTTCTATCCTTTGCAGATCTCAGCAATAGTTGTAAATTTACTGTGTCCCAGTCTTTTCTCTTCCATGCATTTACACAATCATCTTCTATAGGTGACACGTTGTTCCTTCCCCCGCCCCTTTTGCTTTGGTTATGTAAATATCGTATTCTTCAAGACTCTATTCCTCATTAAGAGTCCCAGACATTTTAGTTGACTCTTTCTGGTTCTAAGTGTAAGTCTCTTTGCGTTTTCCATTTCGTTAAAACTTTCACGTTGATTCGTAATTCGTAGAATTCTCGCCTTCCTTCTATTGCCTCCAGTTTTCTTTCTTGGGAAAACCGGGCGTTGTAAGCTTCGATGTGCGGGTAGTGTGATGTATTATATAAAGTCTTGGAATTGGAAATCGAAGATCCGAGTTCGAATTCAGCCAGGTTCGTCACCATTCACTTACGTGCAAAGACCCCTTGGTCAATGACATATCGAAAAAACATGATCATCAAAGCATGCCGCATCCAACCTATGAACTTGCGCAGGGCCGGCGCGGTAGGTTAATGGCCCATTCAACGTCATGAATCTGAGGAAGGCCCTACACCCAGCAATGAACCCTCACGGGCTGAGAAGTAGTTCATTATTTTAATCGGGAATTAAAGCCGCCATTTATGTATGGATCCATACCTAGAAGAGCTGTGGTTTCGTTGGATGTTGTCTCCAACAGGTGATGAGCATCACTTTCAGCATCCGTGTGGAGGCTGATTCAAGCTTAGATTCTAGGGTTTTAGTTAATGTTCAAGGTCTGGAACCATACTTTAAACCGCTCTACATTTGTTCGAAATAATATCCGTTTGGGGTAGGTCAGGTTTCCAGATTGCATCTATATTATTCAAGCAGTCTAACCTTTAGCTAAGCGAATTTTCACATCCTTTCCAGTAGAAATTATTTCGCTTCCTAGGTATACTTTTGTATTGGGCCTTGTTGATTAAAGCTTATGAATTCAGTTTTAGAGCCATTGGCATAGAGTTCAATAATCTTACGCGAACGCAGAATGCGTTTTGCAGGACACTGCTGGCGATCAAAACTAGAATTTGCGAGGGATCTACAGCTCGGGACACCTAGCTATGGAGCAAGACGGGTTGGTCGCAAACTAACCACCTACGTTAACACAGAATTCAGTCCTTGATACTCGACCGTGATGGTTGGCGTATTAGACTGATGAATGTCCGAGCTACCATGATTGAATAAAGAAATAATAAATAAAGTCGGTATGACGAAAAGTGAAAAAAACAAGAAAAAACAAAACAAAAAAAAACAAAACAAAAAAAAAACAAAAAAAACAAAAACGAAGCAAAATACTAAAATAAAAGACATTACATCAAATTTTATTTGTAAAATGTTTTCTGGAATATTTACAACATGTAAGTGAAAATCATTTCTGTCAATTTTAAAGCAGTATTTTACATAATTAACTTAGCCAAAATTAGCGTAACAAAATTGACCGTAACTAGAAAATGGCCGTCTCTTTCTACTTCTACTTACTAGGCGCAAATAATTACACTACCCGGTCATACGATGGTATTTTTTATACGATATCTAATATCTCCACACTACATATAGATGTCTTGTGCTTCCGTTTGTGTGTTTTTTTTTTTGTGGTCAAATAGAATGATATATCGATGTATGCTTTCAGCCCTTTGAAAATATAATCTATATATTCCAAAAGTCTGTGAATTTTGCGTACGTCGGCCGTAGAGCGCATAATGATTTGTGTTTCTTTCCACCTTTCGTTTTTCACCTCTCTCTCGCTCCACCTCTTTCTCTCTCTCCACTTCTCTTTCTCTTCATTTCCACCTCCTTCCACCTCTATTTTACCACCTCTCTCTCACTCTTTCCACCTCTCTCTTTTCCACCTCTTACTCTCTCCCTTTCCACCTCTCTCCTTCCACCTTTCTCTTTCCACCTCTCTCCTTCTCAGCCTGCCTCTCACTTTCCACCTCTTCATCTCTTTCCACCTCTCTCTGTCTTTCCACCTCTATCTTTCCACCTCTCTCTTTCCACCTCTCTCTTTCTACCTCTCTTTCTACCTCTCTCTCTCTCCCAACTTCTCTATCTCCCCCACTTCTCTCTGCCCCTCTTTCACCTCTCTCCTTCCACTTTTCTCTTTCCACCTCTCTCTCTCTCAGCCTGCCTCTCACTTTCCACCTCTTAATCTCTTTCCACCTCTCTTTTTTCAACCTCTTACTCTCTCCCTTTCCACCTCTCTCCTTCTACCTTTCTCTTTCCACCTCTCTCCTCCTCAGCCTGCCTCTCACTTTCCACCTCTTAATCTCTTTCCACCTCTCTCTCTTTTTTCACCTCTCCTTCCCCATCTCTCTTTCCATCTCTCTCTTTCTACCTCTCTCTCCCAACTTCTCTCTCTCCCCCATTTCTCTCTGTCTCTCTCTTCACCTATCTCCTTCCACCCCTCTCTTTCCACTTCTCTCTTTCCATCTCTCTCTTTCTACCTCTCTCTCCCAACTTCTCTCTCTCCCCCATTTCTCTCTGTCTCTCTCTTCACTTATCTCTTTCCACCTCTCTCTTTCCACCTCTCTCTTTCCACTTCTCTCTTTCCATCTCTCTCTTTCTACCTCTCTCTCCCAACTTCTCTCTCTCCCCCATTTCTCTCTGTCTCTCTCTTCACCTATCTCCTTCCACCTCTCTCTTTCCACTTCTCTCTTTCCATCTCTCTATAATTTCATACGTGCTTATTCACATTTCAGCATTTTTAAACAAACAATATTTAAAAAATATTTTTGCCGTATTTAAAAATTATTTTCAAATGAATATGATTTTAAAATATATTTGATATATTAAAAATATTTTCAAGTGAATATGATTTAAAAATATTTTTTGGTATATTAAAAATATTTTCAAGTGATTGTGATTTAAAAAATATTTTTTGGTATATTAAAAATATTTTCATGTCAATGTGATTTAAAAATATTTTTTGGTGTATTAAAAATATTTTCAAGTTAATGTAAGTTAAAAAAAAAAAATAAGTGAATCATATATAAAAATACGAGTTGTTTATCCTGTAAGTATTTTTATTTTAACTTTCTTCTAACATGTTTTATAACTTGAAACGTCAATGACCCGACGGGCCACGATTAATCCTGCAAAAAATTTATTTTGAAAGCAGGGATACGTAGGTTAGCGCTCAAGGTAATTTCTTGAAATATACTGTTAATCAACTCAGCCTTATAAATGCCCTAAAGAAAAAAGAGAAATTCATAGGCTCCTTCTTAATAGAGAAACGAACCCAAAGGGAACTTAAAGTTGATCCTTGTTTCCAAATCAATTATGCGTAAAAAAAACCTGTGGACAAAGAGTAAATTTGCCAGAAATTCGGATGTATTTTGGCGTTTGCATGAATGTTTATTTGTTTTGTTATTTTAACGTTATATCAGTTCCTTATTTACATATTAATTTACATTTTACAGTGAGGTTCACCCTATAAAAGGCCCGGGGCTACTCGTGTTAGATGGTTACGTTAAAGGATAGATAATACTGGTAGGAGAGAAAGATAACGTTTAATTCTAGACTTGAAACATCGTCTTGGGAGTCTATTCCACAGAGCAGCGGTTCACAGTAAGAAGCTGTCCGGATGGAACACACTTCTCATCGATGGAATACGGAGGGAGTATGAATGGTTTGCTACATTGTAAGTAACATAGCGAGTCTTAGCCGTGAAGTTTTGACCTGGGGATCAATTGAGCATAGATCGTCCGAGCACTTTTCATGGAAGTAACGATAAATCAGTGAGAGACTCAGCAAATGCAGCCTGTGAGAGAGAAGTTGGAAGGAGGAAAATAATTCATCACCCAGAATGAATCAAATACGCTTTCGAACTCTTTAATTCGTTATTTAATGCCGAAATTTTATTTTCCTGGGAGCTTAGTAATAATAAAAATAAGATATATGTTATTCTGCTTTCACAATTGAATACATGGTAGATGATGCTCAGCTTTTGTGCATATACATGTTTCTGTGGACATGATTACTAGAGGCGGTGATGCTTGTTTTACATGGTAAATTTATTGAAGTTATATTTTTGCAATATTTTTTGATTTAAGAATTTTAAGTTATTAATGTCACGAACGAGTTCTTTCATCTTTTGTTGAATTTCTGTAGCGGTATATCAGCCTCTATGGGTTATTTAATGCGGAAATCTAATTATTTTGAACACAATTATAAGAAGTCAACTAAATATTTTCAAAGCAATTACAGGCTTTCAACTACAAATAAGACGTATTGTTGGTGATTTTACTATAAAGTGTATTGTTAATAACCTCTATCTATAAAAGACAGGATGTGTGTGCGTGTGTGTAACGAATGCATGGCCGCAATTTTTGACAGATTTGCACCAAAACTTATATGCACATGCTCCAAGTTAGCGAGAAGGCCAAGACCGACTTTGCATTTCCCAACTCCCATCGATAGTGGAAATAATCGATTTTTTCATGCTTCTACGCCACTTTTCATGTAGTTTGCGGCCATTTTCTACTGGCCAGCGTGAGAGCCAACAGCTGACCGACACGAATGTTAACTAGCATGCAAAAAAAAATCGATAGCTGCATTCGTCACCCGTGGGAAAAATTTAAATCTGCATGGCACTTTACTCCAATTGGCTCATTCGCTTGCTTAAACTCAACGTTGATTCTGATTCCGCAGAACTGGGTTGGGTGTGAAAAAGTATGTTATTAACATTCTTTTTTCATTCGATTTTTCCAGTCACGAGTCCTTTTTTAAAGCTGATCGTTTTGTGTTCATTTTGTTTAGTTCTTTTTTCGTAACAGATTTAATGTTTAGTATAGATCTTAGAAAAAATTCGCAGTGTGAGATAGGCAAGAAGTAAGGCATGTAGCAACATCAGAACGGCAAAGGGCGCTCCTTTAAGGCAAGGAAGGGCAAAACTATTTATATAACGATTTTTGAATCAAGCCCGGGCAACGCCGGACCATGCTGCTAGTCCTACTATAAATGGGTATTGTTTGTAATTTTACTATGAAAATGTATTTTTATACTTTCATTTGTCTTTGTTTAGGGGTTGACTATTTGCCCATAGCTCGGACCCTATCAGCAGCTGACACCCCCGGTCAGGTTGAACCTAGGAACAGTAATAATTAAGAAGTAGTTCCACACTTCTCGATACCTTAAGTCTCCAGATCAGAGGTCTTGCTGTTGGATGTAGTTTATCGTCTTACTCAGGACAAGCATGAATGTGAATCATATTTTTTAACTGATAAAAATAATGTATCACTAACAATATTAAAACTAATATCTTTGTTGAGTCTTAACGAGATGGAATGGGATAGTGTTGTGCATTTGATTGCCACTCTTCGGGGTTTTATTCCTTGATATCGATATAAATCGATAAATGACCAGTTATTTTGTATGCGTTTATTTTCATACTTCGAACTGGATTTAGAAATCCATTGAATTCGTCAATTTAATTTACGCGTAAATTCCTTTGGAAAACGTATGGCTCCAACCATCTATGGGTTAAAAAATCTGGGAAGACTTTGCTCTCTAGCCGTTGTTGGCAATCAGTCTAGGTGAAGTACAGCTTTGAAAACTTTAACAAGAATCCCTTTAAGTTTTTGACCAAAGTAAGTTATTTAGTCAATATATGCAAAGATTTTTAATGTAAAACTATTTCATTTTCTTTTGTTCGGATACATTTAATAGAATTACCAACACTACATTTAATAGAAAAATGGCCAACAGTACATTTTATAGTAGAATTATCAACAATACATTTAATAGTAAAATGATCGACAATACATTTTATCTGTAACTGAAGCTATATAATTGTGTTTTCAAAAAAAAAAAAATGAAAATTAATTGTACTAAGCTACGCATCTTAGTAAAATCAATAGTACATTGTACCCACCTTACTTGTTTGAACTTCTCCTCCAAATTTTATTTCGATCGTTCAATGTATGGCGAATTTAGTGTATGTGAAAACATTTGCAAATCTTGTGAGCATTTATAAAAAAATCATTCTTTTTATTCTGTTCAGAATGCTATTCTCTAAACATTTTTTTGATATTATAACTGAATCAGATAGATTAAGAAATGTAAGCAGTCGATATAACATCCCAAATGAATCAAAAACAAAACAATCATGTATTGTTGATCATTTTACTATTAAATATATTGTTAGTAATTTTACTATAAAATGTATTGTCGGTCATTTTGATATAAAATGTATTGGTGGATATCTATAAAATGTATGGTTGGTCATTTTGTTATAATATATTGATATAATGGAATGTGCATACAACTGAGCTCCCCCTCACTGGAATATAATTGGCTGGTGTCCGTCATAAATACAGACAGACGTGTAGGTACGACAGATGTTAAGTCTATGACGACGCCCATTGGACTACGCCATTGGCATTTCTATTGGTCTACACTTATTATCTGCGACTAAGACGAGTACCAGTCGATTACTGCTACCGTGTACTACTGGGTTACAGTAGCCAAACCCTCTTAGCTACTTGGATCAAATATATCCCTTTCCGGTATATATCATATATAATGTTGGTAATTCTAATATAAAATGTACTGTTGGTCATTTTGCTATAAAATGCATTGTTGGTACATGTTGTGGTAGGATCCACCTAATTTGCATAGTGGAGTACCGACTATATAAATATGGTTGGTACCGGGAAGACGAGGTGAGGAATCAAGAGATTCAATCCAGAGGATCTGCCCGGCTGCGACTAAGTCAATACATTCTCGTGGAACGGTCTTCCCAAGAATATACAAAAGACTATATGTAAATATTGTGTACCTTTTTTGTTTCAATACATTTTCCTCTAAGTACATTTTGTGTTGTATTATTATTCCATGCATTAGTCAAGTTTCAACAGTACTTCCACTACAAAATGTATTGTTGGTCATTTTACTATAATATATATTTTTGGTACTTTTACTATAAAATGTATTTTTGGTCATTTTGCTATAAAATATATTGTTTGCAATTCTACTATAAAAATGATTTTATACTTTCATGGTATTTTTTTTTTTTGCTTGGTTGTTCACTATTTATCCATATTTGGGGGCCCTAACTAATTATAAATTTCAACTCAGACTAACATTATCTGTTCGGTCACTGAATATCGATTGTCTCTTTCAGTTCCCACCGTTACCAATAACATTTATCAGCCAATCAAAAACAAATCTGCAGCTGGGCGATTTTCACGAAGTATCTACAATGGTCTTGTCTTATCGAGTCCGATAAACGGATTGATTTTCTGAAACACTAAATAAATATCAAGTATAGTTTGTGTAAATTGGCTTTCAATCAGTTTCGTTCGGCCTCAGGCTAAACATTTTGTCAGAATCTGACCACAATCGAAGAGATCTGAGACAAAGCGTCAGTCTGGAATTTCCGTGTGGACTTAGAGACCGTTAAAGGAAAATTAAGTTTTCATATCAAGGTTAGGATGGACTGGTGGCATAAGGATGATGAGAGCGGAAAACAGAATCGGTCAGACGATGTCAGATTCCAGCCTAAACTATTGCGCGCCCTTTCGAACGAATTACCTTGATAAAGGCATGAGTCCTACCTCATCCGTTATGGGTTAAATAGAATAGTAGATTAGCCTTGTTTGTATCTAGTCTAGGAGAAAGATTAATCTGAATGGAAGTCCGTAGAAGAGACGACTGAAAATCATTTCGCTGTATTAACCAAGAAGCCATGCCAATTCATAGATAATAAAGAAAAGGAATATGTGGAGAATCGCGATCTCCTACACCATAAATAAAACATGGAATATAGAAAAATATTTATTAATATACCCATGTTTTATAGTCACATATTTCAAATATGAGAGTTATTATGAATAGACAATGTCTGTTTATAGTACGTAAAACGATAGGGGATCGGATTGGTGAATCGGAGAGCCGAGATCGAATTCTAGTCGAATCCATTACATTCACTTACGTGCTATTACCCTCGGGAAAGGTATTAATCCTCGTCTTCTCCCCCAGGCTATGGGTAAATAGCAGGACAGACCTTGGATGGCAACTGTTCTACCGCAGAAAGAAATGGCAACCTACTGCGGGAAAAAATCTGCCTCGTCTGTCATGCATCGAAAGATACATGATCGCGTATCATCCATGGCACATAAATGATACACACATGTAAATACTTGGAGTCATTGAAAAAAGATGGAATCAATTATCAGACTTGTACTTTGAGAAACTCGCAAAGAATGTGTAGAATTTGTGCTGCAGTAATCAAGGCTAAAGGAGGATATTTAGACGAGAGCATGAATTTATCGTTTTTATTTTAGTCATAATAAAAATCATGTCTCACTTGTCTTTAACCATGTAAAATAATTTTCTCTTATTTCAAGTACAAAACAACTGCATTTGGTGCCAATTTAGAGAAATTACCTGGGGGGCCTCAACATTTGAATTGTAGCGTGTATTTATACATACATACATACATACATACATACACACACACACACATATATATATATATATATATATATATATATATATGGATGGATAGATGTGAGTTTGTGACCCTGGGTTTCACGCAAGTACCAAGCATATAATATATAAATAATTATACATATATATATACATTTATATTTATATACACTTTTCACACACACATATATATATATATATATATATATATATATATATGAATATAAACATACAGAATGTTTCTCTGTATAACCGCTCATCCGATTGTTTCACGACGGGTTCAACGCTCGACCGATCTGGTATTAGCCAGAGACTCTAGCACTGATGTATCCGCAAAGGGCAGAGAAAGGAAATATTTTAATGTATTATGTACGTGATGTATATAAACGGTAAACCAGTAGCCAGAGCGATCAATTTTGCCAAAGAGGTCTGCCTTAAGCATCAGCAGCAACAGTTAAAATTTCCATTTCTCCATAGAGCTCAGTCGGCGAACGAGAGCATAGTCATCAACATGCAGACTGTTTCACTGTATCACAACTCACTGAAGCTCGACCGATTTGGCATCAGTCAGAGATTCTACCCATGAGCTATCCGTGCACGGATATATATATATATATATATATATATATATATATATATATATATATAATGTGTGTGTGTGTGTGTGTGTGTGGTTTCAAGGGATAGTAGATAGAATATTTATAGTGTGGTCAATATAGAATTGGGTATTGTTTTGTTGAAGATTACTTTCAAGCATGAAACAAACTCGGAGACCAATACCAAGGGGTTAGCCCAATCTTCAGGCCATGAAACGGAATGTGACTGTTTTGTGTTGAACTTAATGTTGACTTATGTTTTTATATACCTTCTATCTCTGATATTGAGCAATTTTAGCTATAAATATAGCATATCCTAAAAGTATATATTTACCATATATATATATATATATATATATATATATATATATATATATATATATATAATGAATTGGCATAAAATATGGATTAGAATTCGAGAAAGTAATAAGAAAATGGCAAAGGCTAATGAATTTAATTTTAAAAATAATTTTTTTTTTTTGTTCTTATTTTTCCTTGGTTAACCCTTTCAGCCCTGGACATCGTTTTACCAGTGGTAGAAAAAAATGACGTAATGCCCAAACACCGGTTGAAAAGTGGTAGAGAAAAATGACGTAATGCCCAACCACCGGTTGAAAAGTGGTAGAGGAAAATGACGTAATACCCAACCACCGGTTGAAAAGTGGTAGAGAAAAATGACGTAATGCCCAACCACCGGTTGAAAAGTGGTAGAGAAAAATGACGTAATGCCCAACCACCGGTTGAAAAGTGGTAGAAAAAATGACGTAATGCCTAACCACCGGTTAAAAAGTGGTAGAAAAAATGACGTAATGCCCAACCACCGGTTGAAAAGTGGTAGAGAAAAATGACGTAATGCCCAACCACCGGTTGAAAAGTGGTAGAAAAAATGACGTAATGCCCAACCACCGGTTAAAAAGTGGTAGAAAAATGACGTAATGCCCAACCACCGGTTGAAAAGTGGTAGAGAAAAATGACGTAATGCCCAACCACCGGTTGAAAAGTGGTAGAAAAAAATGACGTAATGCCCAACCACCGGTTGAAAAGTGGTAGAGAAAATGACGTAATACCCAACCACCGGTTGAAAAGTGGTAGAGAAAAATGACGTAATGCCCAACCACCGGTTGAAAAGTGGTAGAGGAAAATGACGTAATACCCAACCACCGGTTGAAAAGTGGTAGAGAAAAATGACGTAATGCCCAACCACCGGTTGAAAAGTGGTAGAGAAAAATGACGTAATGCCCAACCACCGGTTGAAATGTGGTAGAAAAAATGACGTAATGCCCAACCACCGGTTGAAAAGTGGTAGAAAAAAATGACGTAATGCCCAACCACCGGTTGAAAAGTGGTAGAGAAAAATGACGTAATGCCCATCTACCGGGTAAACACTTTTAAGTATTTTTACGGCTACCGTGAAATATTACATACCAATTATTTGCAAATTTTGACTCAGAAGATAAAACAGAAGGATTACAATTTTTCAGAACATCAGAGATCAAAGGGTTAAGCAGACTTCATATTTTTTTTTATTATTTTGTCATGCAACGTTCTTGCTTACACATTTTATGAGTACGACCATTCTTGTTTGTTTATGAAGAATTTGGTTGAAAATATGTATGCGTCAGAGCGTCAAGTAGACAATTTTATTTCAATAGATTTTGTATGTTTATTGGGGATGTTTTGTGTGAGATTGAAAGAATTTAAATCACTTGGTTGTGATTGTAGACAGATTTTAAAATCTTTAAGTATGTGTTTTCAAAAATGTTGGGTATATAATAAAATCTTTTCGACGTATGTTTATTGATGATAAATTATTTATCAGAATTCCTTCGAAATGTTTTCTACGTAATAAATTAAGTTCTTTTCTAATTAGAAAAGCTTTAATTATATCGAAATTATGGCCTGTTCATATATATATATATATATATATATATATATATATATATATATATATTTGGTTGGATTGATGTGAGTTTTGACCTGGAATTCACGCTTTTGCAATCGTCAGACAAGTTAAAGTCTGACGATCGCAAAAGCGTGAAACATAGGTCACAAACTCACAACAATTCAACCAAATATGTTAGCTCTATCTCTGATATTGAGCGATTTCTAATAAGTAACGCGTATATATATATATATATATATATATATATATATATATATTTATATTTATATACACACACTTTTCACATATATATATATATATATATATATATATAGATAGATAGATAGATAGATAGATAGATAGAATATATATATATATATACACACTTTTCACATATATATATATATATATATATATATATATATATATATAGATAGATAGATAGATAGATAGATAGATAGAAAGGCAGTACTGGATGGCTAGTCAGATGGAAAGAGAAACAGAAAAGAAAGAAAGAAAGAAAGAAAGAAAGAAAGAAAGAAAGAAAGAAAAAAAAAAGGATAGATTGGTAAAGGGGACATAGATAGATGAGATAGATAGATAGATAGATAGATAGATAGATGATAGATAAAAAAAGACAGTGCTGGATAGATAGAGAGAAAACAAAAGAAAGAAAGAAAGAAAGAAAGAAAGAAAGAAAGAAAAAAAAGAAAGAAAGAAAAAAGTGCTAGATTGGTAAAGGGACACAGATAGATAGATAGATAGATAGATAGATAGATAGATAGATAGATAGATAGCAAGAAAGACAGTGCTGGATAGATAGAGAGACAACAAAAAGAAAGAAAGAAAGAAAGAAAGAAAGAAAGAAAGAAAGAAAAAGTGCTAGATTGGTAAAGGGACACAGATAGATAGATAGATAGATAGATAGATAGATAGATAGATAGATAGATAGCAAGAAAGACAGTGCTGGATAGATAGAGAGACCACAAAAAGAAAGAAAGAAAGAAAGAAAGAAAGAAAGAAAGAAAGAAAGAAAGAAGTGCTAGCTGGCTAGATAGATGGAAATAGATACTGATATGACTAAACTTATAGATATACGGAAAGAAAGAAAGAAAGAAAGAAAGAAAAAAAAAAAGAAAGAAAGAAAAAAAGAAAGAAAAAGTAAAGAAGAAAGAAAGAAAAGAATGCGCCAGCTAGCTAGAGATGAAAATAACTACAGGTATGTCTAAACTCGTTTACTCTATTAAGACCGATTCATCACCCAAGCCTGAAACGTTCTCACCATAAATATCACTACAAGTATAATGTTTCCACATTTTCTTGTTTGCTAAACTGTCGCATTTGGGTCCGAATATCTTGGCTGTAATCTGTACCTAAGAATAAATTATTTTTCAAACCTTTTAGTACGTCTTTCCGTTTCATTTCTCAGTCAAAATCGGCGTAGAGGTATCTCAAAATACTCGAAAGTCGTACGTCTTTCTCGGCACTAATATTCACTGTCTCGAGACCAATGGTTGTCAGACGTTAAACGCTTCTGTATTTACGTAAATGTGTTGCAAGAATTTGTCAAAACTGTAGCAAAACGGTGACATCTACAGCCACTGAAATAAGCCAAGACGCCTCTACAATAAACGCAATGTTTGCTCTGAAAATACGAGCAAAGAATAAAATGAATAACAGAAATAAATTGAAATTATATAAATCTAAAAAAGAATCAGTAATATTATTGGACATGACTTATGTCCTTTTCTAATTAGAAAAGTTTTAATTATATCAATTATCGCCTGTTCATATATATATATATATATATATATATTGGGATTGAGGAATCGGAGAGCCGAGTTCGAATTCCAGTCGAATCCATTACATTCACTTGCTTGCTAATACCCTTGGGAAAGGTGTGAATCCTCTTCTCCCATCCAGCTATGGATGGCAACTGGTGTAGGAGAAGGAAAACTCTGAATTCAAAACCTGCGGAGGGTCGTTTGGGGACCTTGTGGCACGTAGTGCACCAGATCTCTGTAATCGGCCCTTCAAAAAGTGTGGGTGGTCCTGCACGAAACCTTCACCACTATAATCAAATCTCATGTGCTATACATGCGGGTTGGGGACCACTTGTGAATTCCAAATTGCCATGAAACTCTAATATTGGAGCCGGCTCAATCCACCCCGGGTGAATGCCGTTACAGGTAGGTACCTGACCTGGCCTCTTGGATTCAGTCACTTTCTCAGCGTCGTTAAGTTACCTCCCTGAACCTTTTCTATAAATATTTTCATGGTAAGTGAAGATTTCGCTATGATAGCTAAGCTTTAAACATTTAGCGAAGTACTATTTTGGCAGCAAGGTTTAATCAGTTTACAGTTGAGTTGACTAGATGTAAGCGTAACTTTTATGCTAAGTTTCTTTTCTTTCATTAATCTCTTGTGGATCACTCTTCCTTTTCAATGCGCACTGTTCAACTTTGATCTTCAAAAATTTAAATGCAATGTCAATCGTTATCTAATGTCTTCCTGACTACTCTTCTATTGTTCTCGCTCAATTTTCGCTTGTGAAACTCTCTTACTGCTCTATGTTTCCGTTTCATACGTCCTCCACCGCCAGTAACCGCTTGCGTCTTAGTGGCTTTACTGCCTTGCTTGGGTTGAATTTGATTAAAAAAGAAGATATATATTGTAGAAAGGAAACTGTATGAGAGCCAATTTGCACAATGGAAATTATTATTTTACGGTTTATTAAAATTTTGGTGATATTTAAAGCCGAAAGATTTTCTGGAATGTTTAAAGTACTCCTGTGTTTCCGGTCATTTACCAATGTAAATATTGACCGGGGTTGACACTTCTTTACTTTACTGATCGAACAAGATCGGGTGTACTTAGGCTACATGAGATAATTAGTGTTCCAGAAACATAGTTGATTTATCTGAGTAGATAATCCCTCGATTATTGTAGATACTTAACAGGAAAGGTCCTCCATATATCCCCCTCTCTGTATATATATATATATATATATATATATATATATATATATATATATATATATATATATATATTCAAGAGAGTTAAAATATATCTAGATCTATCTATATATATATATATATATATTCATATATATATATATATATATCTATCTATATATATATATATATATATTTCTCTCTATATATATATATATAAATATATATATATATATATATATATATATATCCATATATCAAATAGCCTATATTTCTTTTCTCTCTCTATATATATATATATATATATATATATATATATATATATATATATATATGTATTAATGGTATCAACGATAGCCTATATTTTTGTTTTCAGTTTAAACAGTGCTCTAAAGAAGTAGAGCTCATATTATATATATATATATATATATATATATATATATATATATATATATATATATAGTGCGTAGGTATGCATAAAATATAAAAATAACACGTTATATATATATAATCCGGGGTTCCTTAGTATTTTTGTTTTTTTTATTTTTTAGAATTTCATTAAAATACAAATTCAGTTCAATATGACGAAAACGATGGACATAAAAACACAAGTCTTATCCAAGAGTAAAACATATTGAACTGAATTTGTATTTTAATGAATTTTGTCTTGAAAATGGTTTATTAAACCCGAAACGTCTGACGTCGACAATTCTTTCATTTTAACTACATTTATGGATTTTTGTTTGTTTTTCAAAATTTCTACATTCTGTCGGATTTATATCCATTTACACTTGCTTATATATATATATATATATAAGTGAACATAGAAGTCAACACTTAGAGGCGACAGTCTGTTTCATGCTATATACAATCGTCAGACCACGTGTGCTGTTATTTTTCTCGGCTATTTATATATATACGGATCAGTGATGCATTGTGGGTAGTCTATTATGGCGGGTATTTTACCGGAAGCCGTTTATTTATTTATTTGGGTTAAATTATTTTGCTTGTTTTTATTTATTTTTATTTTTTGTTTCTTATTTTATTTATTTATTTTTTTTTTTTTAATCGGTGTTTTTTTTATAAACGTAGTAAAAATTTGTTTATATCACTTATTTAATAGTTTTGTTTTGTTTGAGAATTTAATTAAAGCTATTTTTTCGGTTTTGGGGTTGATTGTTGTAGTTTATTCTAACTATTATTTGGCAGAAACAGTTTTTAATTTGTGTTTATTTGGGTTGATTGTTTTTGTTTGTTTTTTTTCTAACGGTTACTTTATCGGGATTGGTTTGTTTAATTATTTACTTGGATGAATTTAGGTCAATTTATTTTACTTGTATATTTTTTCTCTTTTCGGTTTTTTGATTTTTAAGTAAATGTGTATGTGTGTATATATATATATATATATATATATATATATATATATATATATATATATATATATATATATTAAAAACTCTTCAAGTGCTGAATGTTTAAATTTTTACACCATATTAATTATATATCTTTTGATTGTTCCTGCTCTAAGAATTCTCTTTCCTTTATCACTTCCACGACTTTATCTAGATATTTTACGTTTGTTCTTTTTTAATATAATATTACTTAATTTTAATATAAATTTTCTAAATATAACTTGTTTTTTTATTTATAAAATATATTTTACTTTGACTAATTTATCCTTGGAAGAGTGTTATTAATTAGGAACTTATATTTTTTAAACTTATCTATATAATTTCATTTAAAAAAAATTCTATTTTCGTTCCTGTCTTAGTCTTAAATTAGCACTTCATTCTTCATCTAACGCCAATTTAATGTCATTAGGTTAATATCCGGGTTTAATTTTATAAAACCTTCACTTTAAGGCTAATACCTTCCACTCTTTTCTGAACACTGTCTCGTGCTTTTGGTCTGACTGAAACACTGAAATGGACAAATTTTGTATAAATATTTCGAATGCTGTAACACTTCAATTTTTATTTCCGACACGAACTCAGTCTGCATACCAGGTTTGAATAAGACTGACGAAGTTTTCGTTTGTTGCAATATGTCTATACCCCATATGAGGTTGTAGGAATCCTTCTACTCGGTTTTTCGTTGAATATTAAAATTTGGAGTGTCGGGATTCAATACAATATCGTTACAGGGTCACTCGTAATTTGGCCGCCGAGAATAATCAAACGCTTTTCACTGAAGGAATAAAATTCAGTAGAAAAGACGACGTAGTTTCAACAAATAAACATTGATTTAATATAACGATAGGAATACAAAAAGTTGGAAAGTAATGTCTTTTGTTTGGGTTGATAAAGTTCTGAAATAAAATATAAACTGTCTTTGTGTACGTGTGTGAGAAACGATAAAATGTTGTGACATGTGTGTTTGTATGAAAAAGTCAACATGTGTGTCTTTGATTCATAATAAAAACGGATACTGGAGATACGAATTGTTTCTTACTTTTGGCGGGGTTGCCGTGGTCTGGAGTTTGTCAACGCTGTCGTTTTTGACATGAGGTCATGAAGGTCATCGGCGAAAGGTGTGTGTAGCTTGCTGGCAGCCGCGTGTATATTGTTTTGGGAACGGATTTCGTATGTTTTTATACACTTTTTCCGAACAATATCGGCTCCAGAATTAAATTACTTATTCATTTCTAATTGGCCCTAATAAGTCACGTGGTATGTCTTCTACTACCTCCGTATGATATTTGGTCGGTATCTACCTAAAAATGATGACGACTAATACAACAAACATTCTGATTTGTAATCTATTATTTTATTGGTGTGTTTTAAGATGTAAGTGTTTTCTTGAGTGTGATTGGTTTATAAATATTGTAGTTGATATTTTGGTGGACACGACAAGGTAATTTTGGATTTTATGTTTTACTACAATTTATTTGCTTTGTATAATAAATACATTGAGTTGTTTTTGTCGATCAGTTTTAATATTTTATATTACTTGGATCCACTTGGATATATATATATATATATATATATATATATATATATATGTGAAAAAATATATAGAAAATAGGAAGGAACTGGTTAGGTAAATAGTCCAAAGTTCCTTAGTATTTTGTTATTATTTTTAAAAAATTGTGCTCGATACAAAAAGTAGAGCATAAATATAATTATTTATTTAAAAATATGATTCCAAATCGCTACATAAGAGGTCTCATGTTTCAAAACAAGAGCCGAAAACTTCAATATAATCCTTTAAATTAAATTGAGTTGAAATTAAAAAGGGCTCCGTTCCATCTTCAAGCGAATTTTTGTTGGAATAACGTATATCTGAAATTTACTTGTTTTTAAAAGTTGAAATCAAAATCACCATGGTAACA